AAGGAAGATGGGGCAATCTACTTCCATAGTGATACTGCCTCGGAAACCCAAGGAGGGGTCGCTATGAGTCGGGGCCGACTCGACAGCACATAACAACAACAACATTAGCATAAGGAGCCCGGATGGTGAGAGCAGTTTGTGATATTGCTAACTGAAAAGTTGGCAGTTTGAACCCACATAGCTCTATGGAAACAAAGGCCTGAGGAAATGCTTCTTTAAAGATTACAGCCAAGAAAGTCCTATGGAGCAGTTCTCTGTAACATATGGAAGTCCCTGTGAGTTGGAGGCCAACTCCAGGGCAGCTAACAATATTATCATTAGCCTAAAACAGTGGTTCTCAACTTGGGCACATTTGGCCATGTCAGAAGCCATTTATGGTTGCCACATTAGGGTGTGTGCTACTGTCATCTAGTGCGTAGAGTCCAGGAATGCTGCTAAACTTCCTACAATGCACAGGACAGGACCCTACAACAAATAGTTATCTAGCCCCAAATGCTAGTAATATCAAGGTTGACAGCCCTATCCTAGAACACATTATGTATTTTGTAAGGCACATAAGAAGATTGTTACCCTAATCTACATACTCATCTCATCTACTGAGGGCCTGCTATGTGCCAAGCACTCTGCAAGATGCTGGGGTACAATGATGAGCATGACATAACCAGGCCCTGCCCTCATGCAGTGACAATTAACAATAATATAAGGTGATGAGTGACTGGGTGTTCTGACAAGGTAAACACAAGGTACTGTGGAAATACAAACAGGAAGGACACTTAAGAGAGCTGGGGAGTCAGTCCTGGCTTACCACAGGAAGCAATGTTTAAGCTGAGGCCAGACTAAAGGGAATAGGGGAGAAGCACATTCCAGGCAGAGAGCAGAACACAGGCAAAGGTGCAGAGGCAAGGAAAAATATGGTTACATGTCACTGCACAGTAGCACACCTGGGTAAGGGTAGGGAGAGACGTAAATGGAGAGACCTTGTAGACCATGGTGTAATGTTTCTACTTTTTCCTATGGTCAGTGACAAGTTATGGAAAGAGTCTTAAGCAGGAGAATGTCATAATTGGATTTAATCTTTTAAAAGGTATTTTTTAAAGGCGCAATCTTAACTAGGCAGCCAATTAGAGATAGAAATTTCATAGGGATGTGAATGAAAAGGGCCCTCTCTTCAAAACAAGAGTCTTATTAGCACTTTATTACACTTCTCTGGTTTCATTCCTTTGAGTCCTAAAAAGCTTTTTCCTCTTCAGTAGTCATTTGATAAGCAGATTTTATGCCTGAGGTCCATCACCCTAATCTAGCACTTTAACTGTTAACACTTTACCAGGGATCAATTACCCTTCTGCTGTGCATATGATAGGGAGCTGCTGAAACCAATCTTATCAGTTACACGATTTTCCCAATGGCCAGCTCTGCCATTACCAAGAATTATTGTTTTTCTTGCACTTGAAAGATGTTACTCTGTGGTTTGCCACTAGGCAAAACCTGGAACATGCCATAGGGTACCCAGCCATGTCTATTTTGAACTGAAGACCAAGCTTAACATAATGTGTCTTCTTTCTTGCCTTAGGAATTAAAGCAGGACATCTCCAGCTTCCGGTATGAAGTGCTTGACCTCTTAGGAAATAGAAAACACCCACGGAGAAGCTTTTCCACTAGCAGCACTGAACTCTCTCAAAAGGATGACACCAATGATGGCAGTGGTGGAGCTCGGGCCAAATCCAAAAGTGTCTCTTTCAATTTAGGCTGCAAGAAAAAGGCCTGCCACGGGCCACCTCTCATCAGAACCATGCCAAGAGCCAGTGGTGCCCAAGGGAAGTCAAAAGCTGAGTCATCAAGCAAACGCTCCTTCATGGGTCCTTCGCTCAAGAAACTGGGTCTCCTGTTCTCCAAGTTTAACGGTCATACGTCTGAACCCAGTTCAGAGCCAATGTACACAATTTCTGACGGAATCGTTCAGCAGCACTATATGTGGCAGGACATCAGATATTCTCAGATGGAGAAAGGGAAAGCAACGGCTTGTTCTCAAAGTGAAATTAACCTCAGTGAGGTAGAATTAGGCGAAGTGAAGGGCGCTGCTCAGAGCAGGGAATGCCCTCTTGCCTGTTCCAGCTCTCTTCACTGCACATCCACCATTTGCTCCTCAAATTCTAAACTTTTAGACTCCTCAGAGGATGTATTTGAAACTTGGGGAGAGGCCTGTGACTTGCTTATGCACAAATGGGGTGATGAACAGGAAGAACAAGTTACAACTCGGCTCTAAGTCAAGCTGCTGTCACCTATTCTGGAACTCAACACAAAATTTGTAATTCCTTTGCTCTCAGAGGTGATTTAAAGAATGATTGCCTCATTGCCCCCTCCCGAAAGGAGAGTGACACTATTATTTTCACTGTCTTTTATAACATGTTCCACATTGTTTTAGTTTTATGTTTATTACTATTATTTGCCTTTTTATACCTAAGTCCATTTCACAACCAACTGAAGGGGTGTTTCCCCAAATCAGCAGAGGTGCAGTCGGGTGCTTAACCCTTTTGCTTTGCTTTTTTACCCTTGCTTCCTTGAAGCTCTAGGTGCCATTTTGCTACTGTTGCTACCGCAGATCCCTGTCCCTCCTATCACATACCATTTCCCCCACAGGGTTTAGACAATGGTCAGCATTCCTCACCAGCTATCAGATAAGGTGAACTAACCTGCCTGTCTTTGTTGCCCTTCAGTGTTACATGCCACCCCGCTCACTCGGGTTCAATGAACAGCATCAAAGGAGACTGAACAGACTCCAAAGAATTATCAGCTTATGGTTTTTAGGTATAACTGGCCTTTTCTGTTTTCATTTTTACACACTACAACTTCTTCTGAGGGCTGCAGAGTTTCTTTCCTAAAAATGTTAGTTTCCTAATGTGTACCAATGAGCTATTTACCCCATAGCATGTCATATCTAATAAGTTAGGTGAATTCCTTTCTTGTGTTAGTGTATTTCAGTTAACTTACATTTTAAATTTTGATAGTACTGAAATTAGTATTTAGAATGTGTACTGTTTTTAAAAAACTTCTGTGCTCTAACCAATACTTACTACATCTCATACATTGCCAAAAAAAAACAGGTGGCATATTTATAGGGTCCTATCTAGGAGCTCTGGTAGCATAGTGGCTAAGGCACTTGACTGCTAACCAGAAGGCTGGCGGTTCAAACCCACCAGCCACTCCTCGAAAGGAAGATGGGGGCAATCTACTTCCGTAGTGATACTGCCTCAGAAACCCAAGGAGGGGTCGCCATGAGTTGGGTCCAACTCGACAGCACATAACAACAACAAAAACATCTAGTGTTGACAGTTTTAATCATTTACTGCTATCAAAAGCATTTCTGAGATAAAAGCCTGGATTTGAAAATATTTTTTATCAGGAAAATGCCATCTTGATGAGCTGCCATTATCTGAAAAAAAGAGCATCTCCATTTTAACTGCTTCCCGGGGGGGGGGGGGGGGGGACCAGAAACGCTTCGGTCTAGAAAACCTAATTCAGGTTGCAGTCCCAATACTCACTGAGGGCAGCAGAATTGCATGTGTAAATTTATCTTAGTTAATACTACTTACCCTAGTGGATTCATGGAAATATAAAAATGATCCGAATTTTTTAAAGCTGCATTTATACGTTCAAACAAATAATTCCCACAGCTTGAGTATCTCATCAGAATACAAAGGTTTGAGTTAAAAATGAAGGTCATAATGGAGATGTTCACCATTTTTGACCTAATGACCACTAAGTGATAACCTATGGTTTTTTTTTTTTTTTAAACCAACATTAGCACAAAAGTATCCAGTTTAGACCCTATTAAACCTGAAAAAGCCCTAGGTCCGAGTCATATTGATTATATTAAGTTTGTTAACCCAGCACAGCAAGCGTTAGTCAGGTGTCATCCTTTGTCAATACTAATAGGAATCCACCTGAATTCATGTGTTTAATTTCTGGTAAAAGTAACAAATGAGAGATTGTCGCACAATGCAAGTAAGTCTCCTACATAGCTTCTGGCAGTGTACTTTCTGTTATTTAAATTGATTCCCATCTCCATCCCCAGCACTGGTGATTGATTAACAAAATGTTCCATGTTGGAGAAGAGACAAATTGGCAGGGTGGGAGTGTGGAAGTCAATGTTGAATAAAAATCATATCCAGGGAAAAGTGATTGAGAACAAGCTGTATCAAGACCCAATTGGTAAGAGGTTGTTCCAAAATTATTCCTGATTTTATCTCAAGTGATCCTAAGTGGAGCTATCATAGATGGCCCTGACATTTTAACAGGTGTGACTTTCCAGAATGTTTAAGTTGCAGATTCAACTCTCTTGTCTAATTCATTATGATAATAATACGTGGAACCTGGGCTAACTTTCCTAACTCCTGTTGATGGCACCAAAAATTAATACATGGCCCTATTTCATCAAAAGAAAAAGATGTGTCTCTCTGAAAAATGAACTTCCAATAAACTATGTATGACTGTTACTTCATCAATTTGTTAGACAAGAGTAGTCACACTTGGAACCATGGTCCAAAATACAATCTGCTTTCAGTTAGGTTTTAGAGAGAGAATATGTATAGATCATAGTATCCAATTTCTAATACTGTTTTTTTTAAGTGTTATGTATCATAGACAGTACATTTCAGATCTTCTCAAGATTATCATCCTTATGCCTTGGGTTTAAGATTTTATTTCACTGGCCACGCTGAGGCCTCAGCTGGGAGCGGGATTATAAATTGAACAGCTACTGCCTTAATTTCCATGCTGATGACACCAACATTTTTATTAACTCTCACTCAGTTGAAAGTGGGTGAGGAAAGAGATTTGTGTTCACATCTCTACTGTCTGGATCAGCTACTATCAAGAATAGTGTTTTAAATGAAGACACTTAATTATGTCCTCTGTCACCAGGAAAGTTATAAGCCAAGTTTGAGAGTAAATTTATAAATATAAAAAATTTTGAGTTAAAAGAGAGCCTTAGAGATGATCTATTCTATCCCAACTTTGTATTTAACAGATGAGGGGGCAAAGAACGAGGCCCAGGAAGGACAATGACTTGCTCAAGGTCACAGAGCCAGGTAATTAAAGAGTTGGGACAAAGATCTTTCAGATCACAGGAACAAGACATTATTAACCACATATATGAGATCCAACAATAAAATGACCACTGCACCACTAAATACTTCCTTGTTCATTTGACTAAAAGGATGTAAACTCCAAAAATTTCACTTACATATTTTAATATAAAGATTACTCCTAAATTGAAATACCACCAGAGTTATTTCCTATTTGCCTAAATATCTGTGTCACTGCTCACCTCCATTCCAGCTCATTTTCTCATCAGTTCTAGACATCTGGATTCATGTGTAAGCCCATAATTAAACTAATTTATTCCTGATAATAAGGGTAAAAATATTACAAACAAAACATCTGAATTATATTAGAAAATCACCATTGTTGAAATCTCTCTTCCACTTTGAGCTTTAAGTCCAGGAATGTACAAATACAGAGAAAAGATTTCAAATTCAAAATCATTTTTGAAAGATGCCAAATTTTACAGGGATGTAAATGTTCCAAGTTATACTTCTGTCTACTTTCAAGGATATACTGAAAAATCTCATTCTTTATGCCTCCCCTATCATTTTCCATTCCACTGTGATCTGATTTAGGCTATTTTGGCTAACACCTAAACATCTGTCTACAATTTGACTAGAAAACTTTTTAAAAAATAGAGCCTCCACCTTCAAATGACTTACATAGTAAATACCATGTTCAGTAACTTTAGAATTCTTATAGCAATGCAAACTCCTCTGCAGATTTCATTGTGAATTTTAGTGAAAAATATAAGGTAATACCTTGGCCAGCAAATATAATCACAACTTGGCCTTCATGTTGCCTTGTAGGTGAGGCTCAAGTGCAGTTCTAACAGTTCTGTCTAGTGGGCAACACCTTGGTTTATTAAACTATTAAGTAAAATGTACTTAAGTTAGGCACAAATACTTTCCTATGTGAAAATACGTAAGAAAAACAACGTATTATTTTGTTAATCAAGTTTTCAAAGCAGCGCTACACATACAGTTAACATAAATTGCTGTTAATTGCTTCCATCTTTTAAATGACCTCTTCATCTACTTCTCAGCCCACTACCACCATAACTCCTACCATTTTTCCTCAAATCTATGGGTATTTTAGATTCTTTGGCTTGCTTTATCTAGACAATTATTCCAAATATCTATTTTGTTGGTGTAGACCTGGCCATTGGGAACTGAGTACCCCAATTTCAATGTAAGCATTAGTTTACAGACTTTACATACTGAAAAACACTGTACTATATATCTTTATACACTTTAAACACTGTACTTACTATATCTTCAAAGATCCTCTAACCACATTTTTTAGATGTGGGTTTGGATTGCTTTGTTTTTTTGGGAATATTTGTGAAAGTCAGAACTGTGTGTGCATATACACACACATACACTGAAAATTAATACAATTTGATTGTTCAGATCTTGGCCTTTCATTCCTTCTGGGAATTACGACGTCATTTTAAAGACGGGGAGCAGGAATAACGTTTCAATGGAAAGAATTGACCTGAGATGTGAGGATTTGCTAAAATGAACTGCCACGATAGCATCTGCTATAGCACAACTGTTACACTGACACTAATCAGGATTTGGAGTTTCTGGTTTTAAGGGGGAAAAAAAAGCATCTAGCCCAGAATAACTTACCTGTATTTTTGATTAAATAATTTAAGTGTAGATGTCATATTTATTGCATACGTCAGATATTACTATTCATATGCTGACATGTGGCTAGGATTTTCATCTATGTGCTGCATGGTGGTCCAGCTAAGTTACTAGTAGTTAACTTTTAC